GCAACCAAATAAAAACTTAATAATCCAGACCTACAACCATTCATTCATTGAGAAGACAGACTGCTAGGTAACAACACTGGCCTAGAATTCACACAAACTGGGACTAAATTCCTGCTCTGTCCCCCACTACCTAAGCCTCAATTTTCTCACTGTTAAATTCAGGGCATCAGCACTCAGACTGTCACAGTACTTGTCAAAGCACCTGTGTAGTCCTGATACATAGAACTTTGACGATTAGTAAACAGTAGTGCTAAATTAAGTATGGTTAAAAATGGGAAGTGAACATAAGACAAGGCTCATAGAGGAACAGTACTTCCAAGGACAACTATCTTGACAGCAGCTGACAATATGGAAAAGAACACACAGGTAAAAGGTCAGAAAAAATAAAATAAAACCACCTACTCAAAGTAATCACTACAGCCTAAAAGGCAAACCCTAGGTTCTGCGGGACCCAAGCCTTGAAAGAGTTTCCTTTTTATTTAAAGAGTTTGCCTGGCGTGGTGGCTCACGACTGTAATCCCAGCACTTTGGAAGGCCGAGGCAGGTGGAACATGAGGTCAGGAGTTCAAGACCAGCCTGGCCAACATGGTGAAACCCTATCTCTACTAAAGATACAAGAAATTAGCCAGGTGTGGTGGCGGACACCTATAATCCCAGCTACTTGGGAGGCTGAGGCAGGGGAATCGCTTGAACCCAGGAGGTGGAGGTTGCAGTGAGCCAAGATCGCCGCCACTGCACTCTAGCTTGGGTGACAGGGCAAGACTATCTCAAAAAAAAAGAGTTGAAGCTGGGTGCGGTGGCTCACGCCTGTAATCCCAGCACTTTGGGAGGCCAAAGCGGGTGGATCACGAGGTCAAGAGATGGAGACCACATGGTGAAACCCCGTCTCTACCAAAAGTACAAAAATTAGCTGGGCGTGGTGTCGCACGCCTATGATCCCAGCTACTCAAGAGGCAGAGGCAGGAGAATCGCTTGAACCGAGGAGGCAGAGGTTGCAGTGAGAGGAGATGGCGCCATTGCACTCCAGCCTGGGCGACAGAGCGAAACTCCATCTCAAAAAAAAAAGAAAGTTGAAAAATGTTTCAAATGGTGCAAGTAGGCTTAAGAAGTCCATCCCAGATGACAGAATAGCAACAAAGGCATGCAAAAGATCCACCACTGTACCTACACCAATCATGTAAATTATTCATAGTATATGTAAGTCTTAAACCACAACTTTAAGAGTAAAAAAACTAAGTTTACTTCAAACAGGTTACTCAGGAAATGGAGCTATCAAATCCTTCCTGTGACATTATGCCCCTACTAAAATAAATAACAAGCAAATATAATGTAACACAAAGAAACAAACTTCAAAAATCAAACCTATCAGAAGCAACTCAAACTTACAGGATGCTTAGAATGTCAACCATTGTTCTTAGAATGTCAACCACTGGTCTAAGTACCTCACACATATTAACTCAATCTTCTCAACTCTATGAAGTTGACTGTCCGCTTACACAGAAGAAACTAAAACACATGAAGGCCGGGCGTGGTGGCTCATGCCTATAATCCCAGCACTTTGGGAGGCCGAGGCGGGCAGATTACCTAAGGTCAGCAGTTCGAGACCAGCCTGGCCAACATGGTGAAACTCCACCTCTACTAAAAATACAAAAATTAGCCAGGAGTGGTGGCGGACACCTGTAATCCCAGCTACTCAGGAGGCTGAGGCAGGAGAATTACCTGACCCCAGGAGGTGGAGGCTGCAATGAGCAGAGATCGCACCACTGCACTCCAGCCTGGGCAACAGAGTAAAACTCCATCTCAAAAAAATAAAATATAATAAAAATTTAAAAAAATAAAACGCATGAAGAGCTACTACCCCAACATCACAGCTAGTAAGGGATAGAGCCTGAGTTTGAACTCACTGTAACCACTATGCTACAACACAAAGATTTCAATGATTTTTCCTACACTAGTTTTTTGTTTGTTTTTGAGAGGGTGTCTCCCTCTATCGCCCAGGGTGGAGTGCAATAGCGTGATCTTGGCTCACTGCAACCTCCACCTCCCAGGTTCTCCCAGATTCTCCCACCTCAGGCTCCCGAGTAGCTGGGACTATTGGCACCCGCCACCATGCCTGGCTAATTTTTGTATTTTTAGTAGAGACGTAGAAGACGGGGTTTCACCATGTTGGCCAAGATGGTCTCGATCTCTTGACCTCGTGATCTGCCCGCCTCAGCCTTCCAAAGTGCTGGGATTACAGGCGTGAGCCACCGTGCCCAGCAGGACTGCATCTTATTAAATAGTGCTAGGGAGTTCAACACAATGATATGAGTTCTATGAATTTCATTTAACCATGCAATCACCTGACCCAGTTAGTACAGATGCTCAACTATAGATCATAAACTTGATCAGAAACACAAGGTTTTGGAAGGATATCTACACAGATCAAGACTAACAGAACAGCTGGGAAAAATTCCGCAGATTCAGTCATCTAAGACAGACCCAGGTTTGAATCCTAGTGTTCATTTAATCATTTTGTGGCCCTGAACAAGTGAATTAACCTATTTGCACCTCTGTTTCATCATCCACAAAAAAAGCCCAACACTACCTACCTCATAGGATCAGCCTGGGGTATAAACGGCATAGAAAGCACCTCACACCTCCTAGAGCATAGCCCTGAGCACCTAGTCCCTCTCCTCTGGCTCTATGGTAACAGGGCAATCAATTGCACTCTTACCGAACCCAATCCCAGAGGGGTAAACAGCCAAATCTCTCCAGTATCAGCTCTCTCACAAAGTCCTTTCTTTTTAACTTCAGGTTTCTATTGGTGGCAGAGCATGAGATACCACCTTGGTGGCACCTAAACTGAACGATACTCAACAATTCTTTACTACACAGCTCTAGGGTCCTAGCCCTCCTCTACCACTAGAATGTCTGAGCATAAAGTATAAATGTCTCATGTTAGCTGCTTTCCTTTTTTGCATTTCAGTGACTTATACTGTAAATGTGGTGAAATGAGTCCAATTCACATGCACTAGAAAAATACAGGTTCTAGTGAATGCCAATGTTTCTGCCATACCTCTCCCCTGACTTCCTACCATTCATTCTTCTCTATTCTTTTTATATAAATGACACCAAAATTGAACAAACCCAACAAACTATTTCAACCAACTTCATCAAAATGTGTCAGGTCAGAAATTCTTTGTAACAGTACTGCTACAAATTGTACAAACAAGGGAGATTCCTTTGTCACCTACTTGTCTGACAAGGTTGTATGTATACTGCACTGATGGATTTAATCAACAGGTTGATATTCAAAAGGTCTATTAATATATTTCCTTTTATCAGTAACCCCTATGTTCATATTATCTTCTGCCCTTTCTACATGTTAGCTTGAAAGGCTCCTAGAACACAGGAAGCAGTTAGCTCTAGTTCTTTCGGGAGACTGGTGTCATGATAATCATGCAAAACCTTTAATTAGGTGTCGAGAATACAAATATCAAAAAGATTCTTGGACGTACGTATTAAAATGCTTAACACTTCTTTGAAGCAACCAACGCAAAAACATCATCTCTGCAAGGGGCCACTCCATTTACCACCAGTGTCTCCCACATTAATACCCAAAGCTGGTATATGTTAAAAGAAAAATGTCTTATAAACTGACGGTGAGCTTTGCAACAATTTTTATGCCATTAACATGTCACTTTATTGAGTTCCTTAACACTAAGAAAAACTTTTCCCAGGCACGTAGTTTTCATCCCACATACAGTTCAGTATTTTTTCTGTACTGCAGGTCTGATTCTAACAACTCAAACGTCAAAAAATAGTTACTTATGAATTTAATGATTGTGATTACGTACATCTCAGTGCAGGATAGGGCTGAAAAAAAAAATATTCCAAGAAAACCTGGATTTAATAGCAAGAAGCCTAATCACACATCACACGCCTAACTGCTCTCAGGCATAGTTTCTTCCTGCAGCCCCTCCCCCACAGGTAAATGCTAACTATTTCTAGAACTCTCAACAATTTGGGAAGCTTGCCATCAACTCCTAGGACACCACCCAACATACACCATGTTTTCGGGGAGACAAAGGTGCCTCAGACTATAAACTTAATAAAATGGTGAGAACATACAATCCCAGGAAGTCAGCATTACTAAAATACATCAATGTAGCATGGGTCTTATTTTAACAAAAATGAAAATGAATCACACTGGAAAAACCAAACAGTCACTCATTGTTATCTTCAACGTGTAATCGAAATTATTTATTCCAAGTTGCTTCAGGTAAGTGGATGAAGACACCACGAGGGCCTTATTATTATCCAAACTGGAGAAGGAGCCTTTAGGAAAAAAAGGAGGGGGAAGAAGATCACTTAATTACATGAGGTGGGGGGTGGAGAAACCATTCAGTCTTAAAATTCAGACTAAAAATAACCTGTCATTTTCACCCACTACATTTTATTAACAAGTTTGTTTAGATCAGCATACGGTTCCTGTTTGGAAAACAAGAAAGTGAACAGTAAACTTTCCTAAGTCAACTGCAAATCACATAGGTACTAAAACTCTTCACCCCCGGTGCCTGCACAGTCCAAGATTTTAAGTAAACTCCAGACATTGAGAACACCTAATTTCTAACTAGTTTCCAACATTTCTCATTTGTAATCACCAAATTATCTTAGAGACACTTAAGACAATCCAAAAAAGAGAGCATTTTTTCAAAGCCACAACCCAAATTTTACATGAAACACACCATTTTCACAACCTAAATTTAATCCCGGTTACCACTGCGAAGTGATGCCTGTTTCAGCAAATTAAGAACTTCCAAAAATACTGAACACGTTAACGCATGGATGGCTTCCCTCGAGCTGCCATTTAAGATTAATATTCCACTTAAATAAAAGTCTGCTTCTGTTCAAAAAATTAAATCGGTTGCAAAGAGGAAGTTACCGAGAAACCACCCTCACAACGTGGCCTTTACACTGTCAGAAAATAACGTGACTCTGTGCCACCCAAAACTTACCAGGAAGCTGACAATAACTTTGCCAATTCTACACTCCTGAACCCAACTTCAAAGAATCTCCACCAAATACCTCCTTAAGACGATAGAAAGCACTAAGTTACAAATAAACACGTCCCGGAGCAAGGCCTGGCTGCCGCGCGCCCCTCCCCC